CCATCTGAAATGTGTGTTTCCACCTGATGTGTGTTTCCATCTAAGTTTTGTGTTTCCATATGATTTTGTACTTCCATTTTTGTTGTGTATTTACTCTATTTTTGTCAACTTTTGGCTAAAAAGAGGGAGTAAATTGTAGTGTGTTGATTGTTGTGTTTTGTCCTGATGGTATTTCAAATGTCATGACATATTGATTAATATTTTGTTAGGATTGTACTACTTCTTAGGGAGAGTAGTCTTTGTTGTTTCTTGTTATAAATGCAACTATTTAGGGGGAGCATGATTGTCTATCATGCTTGATCTTGTGATCTGGTTCTTAGGGGATTTTTTTAAGTTTCTGATGCTAGTGCTGATGTGTGCGTGTGCATGATGTCATTACCAAATATCCTGACATCTTGCCTGAAGTTTTTTTGGAGAACTTTGTTTCATCTTAGTTTTGTTTTTTTGTGAGGCTTATTTTTCTTCTATTGCATGTGCCTCTGATATATGTGACAGGGGGAGTACTGGTCCTTTCTAAAGTTTGTGGTTGTGTGTAGATGTTCCCTCGAGGGAGAGTATTGATTATATGTGACAGGGAGAGTAATGGTCCTTTCTGAAGTTGTTGAGCATGTTGCTTTGGTGCTGAGTTGTTGAGTGTTGTGTTAATGTGATGTCAGACTACATGTCATGACATCTGATCTCTGGAGAATTCAGGAGTTTGAAGGAGATTTCTCTCTGGTGTTTTGTGTATGAGGTTGGGTCTCTCTATAGCTACATCTATCTCTGATCTGTTCTATTTACAGTTTATACAAAGTTTACATGTATTTCACGTAGCTTGTGTTTTGTGTTTTATTGTGGTTTTATTCCTTATCTCCAAGTTTATTGTGCAAATGTTATTTTAGCCTAAACTTTCTAAAATAGGAGATTGTTAGGTATGTGATTTTATGATTGACAACAATTCTAATAAAACAATGTATCACAACCAGATATTGAGCAGGATATCATGACATCTTGACCAACTGATATAGTAGGCGCTACTGCTCTTCTTGGAAGAATATGATTTGATTTTGTGAGATTCTCTATGGATATATATCACATGTTTGTGCAAGCCAAAAAGGATATTTTTGGAACAAGTGATTTTATCTCTAATTATGCATTAGTTTCTAAAATTGGATGTTGAGACAATTTAGGAAACTTGTGATGTTTTTATTCCATTATTCAAGAAGATTATTCTGCATAATTTGTGCAACCATCAGTTTGTTACAACAAATTAAGTGAAGAATCTGAAGCCCACTGACAATTGAGGAGTTTAAAAGGAAAAATAACCTAAACCTAAAAGTAACTAGTGGAAAAATAAGGGGAAGCTTTGTTATTCAAGAGTATTTACGGTTTTAAGAGTTTTTTTATTATTCTTTGTTTTTGTATGTCACTCATGTATCTTGTTTGATTCATAGAGGTTGAATACTTGTTCATTATTCATTGTGATTCACTCATGAGCTTTTAAACAAATAGTGTAATTTGTGTAATTAGAAGTATGTTTTTCTGTTTTGGTCATTTTTATTGTCACTGAGGTAATTGTAGGAAGTCAGAGGGGGTTCTCATATCTAGGAGGTTCTTAGGTAGAAATTGCATGGGTAGTGATTAGGTGATAAATTGTAAAGTAGGATTGTTTAATCTTTGAATTAATATTATTATAGTGGATTTCCTTCCTGGCTTGGATACCCCAGAGTAGGTGTTGTTGCACTGAATTGGATTAACATTTAAATATGTTATTTATCTTCTGCAATTTACCTTCTGCATGATTTATTATTTTGTAAATTACTCTATCAGTAAAATAATGTCTTAACATCTATCTTGACATTGTATTTTGGTGTTGTGACATCAGTCTTAACATCTATCTAGTGTGTCAGAATTTCACCTACAACTATGTACATTTCCCAAAATGTGTAGTACTACTTACTTGCAAAAGGAAAATATCACCAGACATTGTCAGATCATCTCTATAGTAGCCCATGTTTTCAAGCTTAATAACCTTCATGATCTGTATAACAGAAAAACCACAAATGTAAGGGTAAGGAGACATGAGCACCAAAGTAAGCTAGCTCAGCAGCCTCGTCAAAGGTCAAAAAAGGGACAAATTATGCTTTCAGGTAATATATTTTAATAGATGTTAAAACCATGTAAATATAAAACTGCAAAAAGCTTAACAAAATAGTTCTGCATAATTATGGTTTTTGGATAAAAATAGCTCTGCACATGCATGAGAAACATTCTTCTTCGTCTATTTTAAAATCTAAAACAACCTTTAAGTTCTTACCACCTAAATTTGTGATTTTGACATTTTTCATACAACATACAACTAAATATCATAGCATACAAAATAGAAGTCATGAAAACTGAATAATTAAATTAGAAATTGCAAATGAAAGTGAAAAAAATTACTCCTCAGTCATGGTTGCTGAAAAAAGCATGGTCTGCCTTTTTTGGGACAAACAATCAAATGTGCTTGATATTGTTTTCTAACAGAATGACAAAATAAATTATGAATTTGCATATATAACAACGACATTTTTTGTATCATAAGGTTAACTAATAGTCACAAGTTCCTGAATATCAACACTAAATCTAAGCTCTAAAATATGATCAGCTTCATCGAGGGTTAAAAAACAAGATCAACCAAATTCACCGACATAGAATTGCATAAATGAATGACCTTATGACACGTATACATTACCTTAACAACAACTTCTTGAAAAAGTATATCTTAGTTAGTAAAGATGATGTAGATCAAAATGTTTAGCAAATGCAACACCTACACCAAAGCAACTAGTTAGATAATAAATCAAACAACTTCAAAATATATTTAAAAACATAACATACCCACAAAACTTTCATCAAGGCTCTATGTGACACGCCTGACAGAAATAGGTGTTTCTTTGACCATAATATCATGTGAGATAAAATTCTCAACTATAAGATTCCAATTTTTTTGAATTCTCAAGAAACAAAAATCCCATAGTATTTTAGAGAGAAAAATGAAAATACTTAACAATGTGTAACTCATTAACAAATGAGATTAAAACTTAAAACGATAACGAGCATTAACAACCAATGAGATACAAACTGTAACTCATTAACAACCACAAAAATTGAAAAACTTCTAAATGAAACAGAGACGATGTTACTAAGATAACAAGTTTTACCTTAAGGATCTTAAACCATTGGTTTTAGCAGATACGAAGCGACATCTTTTAGGATTTCGTTACGGATGTCGTAGTTTTTTTGCTTGTTTGTATTTGGTTCAAAGAAAACACAATAATAATAACAAAACCAGTCAAAACTCTAATAATTAAATTAACTCAACAACTTACCAACTGTGGCAGAAACACATCTGCAACTTCCGATCCATCAACCCCATACAAAGCGACATCGTGCGTGTCGTATATCATCGCTTCATTCAAGTTTTATTTCGATTAAAAAATAGTGGAAGAAGGAAGAAGAGAAAACGAGAGAGAGAGAGAGAGAGAGAGAGAGAGAGAGAGAGAGAGAGAGAGAGAGAGAGAGAGAGAGAGAGAGAGAGAGAGAGAGAGAGAGAGAGAGAGAGAGAGAGAGAGAGAGAGGTTAACATTGCATTTGAATTGGGAAACCAACGGTCTACCTTAGAAACAAATAAAACAATTAATAACTGTACAAAATAATGATTATTAGAGTTAGTATTTTTAGTACTCCTCTTTACCCAAAAAAGAGTTAATTGATCCATTAAAAAAAATAATTTAATTGACTTAATTATAATATATTATTTTCTTATATGAAAAATAATATTTTCATATTCATTGTATATTTAGCCATTAAAAATATGAAATAGAATAATTATTTAATAAATTTAAAAATAGAATATTTATTTATAATAGAAACTTTAAAAGGTACTTACTTATTTATCTTGACCTTCACACAAAAGTTACTCCATTTAAAATAAAATATAAGTAATCAGTATTAAAATGTTAAATATATTTAATATTATAAATTAGAATCAAATACATTTTATTTTTAATTTTTTTTCTCTACACGATGATGCATAAATAAGAATATTATAAAAACAAGGATTAAATATATTTTTAATCCTTATAAATATCTCAAATTTCATTTATAATTTTTATTAAAAAAATGATAAATTTTGATCTTTAAATTTTTTTGTTCATTAAGATTTAGTCCATGTTATTTTTTAAAATTTTAAAAATAATTTAATTATCTTTAAACTTTTAAATTTTTAAATAATATTTTTCATATGTGTTTAGAATAATATAAAATGTTTCTTTATTAAATTTTAGAATTTTTTAAAATAAGAAGAATTAAATATAACTTTTTTAAATTTCAAAATATATTGATAAAAATAATAAAAATTTCGACTGAGAAATCAAATTTTAAATTTCTTTTTTTTCAAAGAATTTTTTATAAAGTTCTAAACATATCTACAAAATAATCATTCAAAAATACGCATTGATTTAACAACAGAGACTTAAACTATGTGCATAATAATTTTATAAGGACTAAAATATATTATTATTTTAATAAAAATAAAAAATAAAATTTAAAATATTTATAAGAACCAAAATCATATTTAAGCCTAGAAACAAATAGAAATAAAATTTTGAATAGAATTTTAAATTTAATTTCTCGAATGTTATTATGAAATTTCCTAATTCCTGGCATCCATGTCACCATTCACGCTCCATGTCTGTACTGCTTAAATTCTTATAAATTAAATTATTTACATTAAATTATTTATATCATATGCTGATAGCACACCAAAGCAGACGTTTCTTCTCTCATTGTTATATTTTCCACATTTTTCGTTTCTCTTTCTCTCTCTCCTTTCTTTCTCTCTCTAGCTCAAGGAGCAACGGCGGCACCTCCTTCTGCTTCACGACCCCAATCCTTCTACTCCCGGAGCTGAATCGCATCACCCAACTCTGATCCAACGATTTCCTTTCAATTTCGGTAACCAACAAAATCCCTAATTTCTATTCAATTGCTTCTCCGGTTTTCTTCACCCTAAGCCCTAATTTGTAAGGATTTTTTCGCTTTGACACGGATCGGATTTCCTTCATGTTCTGTGATGTAGTTAGTTGCTCGGGACGAACGTGAACTCTTTCTTTTGCTCCAAATGGGGGTTTTCTATGCTTTTTAGTTTTATACCTAATTTTGCTGTTTTGAGTTTCTTTGTTGTTATGCTTTTGTTTAAACATGAAGTGGAAGGTTTTGTTGCTGTTTATTCTGCTGGTGTGCTGTTTATGAATTGAATTGTTCTGCTTCTGCTGCTCTTGTGTTTGGTTCATGTGAAAGATTGAATTTTGAACTTTATTAGATATGGATGCTAGCTTATGTGTACTGTTAATTAAGTTCGTATCGTGATTTGTTTTGTTTTTGGTGAATTTTGAAGATAAATTATTGCTTTAATTGTCTGTTTTGACTAAGTCTGCTATGTATCGTTGAAGAGTAATTTGCAATTCATATTGAATATAGTTGATTCGTTGGAGTTGCTTTATATTAGTTTAGTTGTCAACACTTTGTACAAGTGCTGGTGTATCACATTTTCTTCAACATGGTCACTTTATATATTGTATAGTGGGGCTGAATTATGTTAACAAATGAAGTAAGTTATCCTTTAATAAACTTCTGCAGTTAGACTTGCTGACAAATGCTATGAAACCGTTCATTATCCTTCAAATTGAAAGCTTGATATTTTTTGGAGTATTGCTTATTCATGTATATCTTGAAGGTCTTGTGTGCTTAGCCATCTATGTTTTTCAGAAACTAAGCCCCCATGAAGTTATCTTAATGATAACTGTTCCTACTTAAAACATTTACATTTAGTTTTCAGAATGAAATTTGTTTAATGGTTTTTCATGTTGAGTGATCATGGCTAATGCAAAACTTTCTTGAATTTTCATGACATGTTAACTGTTAAATGTTCTGCATTTGGATATCTTGGTAGAGTTTTTTTTCCCAGCATTGATGTTTGATGTGTGAAACATCAGTTTTAAAGAAAAATAGCTGATGCCAAATTCAGTTTTGCTCAATTTCTGATGTTGGTGCTACCTGTACGCAGCTTCTAGTTCACTTAATTCACTCTAGAACCTTTAAAATGCCTAAGGAGAGAAAAGACAGGTCCGTGTCACAAGATAGTAGTAGAACATCACCTTATCCAAGCAGCTCAAGTCGTGTTAGAAGATCTACATCTAAAACTCCTTTAGAGTCGGAAGAAAATATAAAAGAATGGGAAGAAGCTAGGTGTCCAGTCTGCATGGAGCACCCTCACAATGCAGTTCTCCTCATATGTTCATCCCATGAGAAGGGGTGCCGCCCATACATGTGCAACACTAGCTATCGCCACTCAAACTGTCTGGATCAGTTCTGCAAGTCATTTGCAGAGCCCTCGCCACCAACCATTCCTCTGGTAGAAAGTGAAATTTCAAACTCTGACTCACCTCAAGATCAACCTCAAGACAGCACTGAAGCTAATATCGTCGATGTACAAGAAGAAACCAGTGAGGGATTTGTTACAATGCAATCCTTGTCCTGTGAAGACGAGACAAAATCAAAGCTAGTATGCCCTCTGTGTAGAGGACAAATAAAAGAGTGGAAGGTAATGGATGGAGCTCGTCATTTCATGAATGAAAAATCCAGGAGTTGTTCTTGTGAGAGTTGCAACTTTACTGGTACATATACAGATCTTAGAAAGCATGCAAGAGTTGATCATCCTCTTGAGCGCCCATCTGCGGTAGACCCAGAGCGTCAACGTAACTGGAGGAGGTTGGAGCGGCAGAGGGATCTCGGTGACCTTCTTAGCACACTTCAAAATTCCTTTGGGGAAAACAGGGCTGATGATGGCCTCGGGCTTGCTCCTATAGATGATGGTGGTTTGCTAGCTGTATTCTTCCTCATTCTTCAACCTTCATCTGTATCTAGAGGTACCACAGGAACTAGACTCCAAATGAGGATTAGGAGACCCTCGAGACTCTGGGGGGAAAATTATGAGGCAGAATCCGGATCTGCTACTAGAGATAGAGATGATACAACAAATGAGTCTTCAGATGGAGGCTCTGATAATAGGAGGCGCCGTGTTAGAAGACGGATTCAAACACCTGACAGACAGCCATAACTTGGAAAACCAAATATGTCAATTTGAATTGTTGATGATGTTCCGACGTGGGTGTTCTCCCTTATCTCTCTACTTTGTTGCTATTTCAGGTTGTGAAGAGTAGATGTTTGTCATTAAATACTTGTCTGTGTTATTATGTAGGTAATAGGTGGAGGTGGAACACTAAGAGAGAGGGGGGAGTTTCCGACTCGGATATTCAAATCTACTCTACCAAGTGTTGAACAGTTATTGCTGATTGTCATCACGAGAAGAATGTTATTCGTTGAGCATCCCATAATCTGTTTATTTTACATTTTTAGCCTTCCTGCATCTTTGGTGCCATATCTCTAGAACAAACAATTGAGTTTGAAATAAATTTACTGTTGTGTTTCTTTTTCTCTCTACAATCTATATGGCAACATTGAAAGAAAATGTCATATGAGGCGAAATATTGACCTGCATTGTTACTATAGTGTTTAGCTTGAAAATGATTTTATTGTAGTAATTTTAAGGATTTCTTAGAATGCTTCTTAACTTTAAATTGAAAGAAAATGTTCACAAAAGAGAGTTGAATTTTATTGTTAGAACATTTACATTCTCTTTAAAGTACCTTCTCTGATTTCTTTTTTTGGAACCAGAACACTAAACAAATACATTAGTTAAAACTGAAATTCAGTTTAAAAGTTCAACATGAGAATGGTCTGTTTCATTAACTCGACGGAGAAAAAAAATGAGCTGCTTGTTTGAAGAATTGAATAACAAAAGAAGTAAGAAATATATTTTTTTTGGTGGATTTTTATTCAGTTGTTGAGTGAAAATGTGAAATAAAAATGAGTTAATAATCATTTCATTTTTGTTATGTTGCAGGTTTATTATTGTAGGCTTAAGTTTTTCTATCATATATTTGTGTTGGAAATTGAAGAATTAAGAAGAAAAATTGTAAACGAAAATTTGTCTTTTTTTCCCCTTCAGGTTCAGTTTCTGAGTTTGGAGAGTTTGAAGGCCAAAGGCAACGAGACTTTTGAAGGAAAAAAATTATGTTTATGTTTATTTGAAGAAAAAAAGATTATGTTTATTTTAAGTGTCTTATATTTTTATTTTTATTAAATATATATTTTAAATTAAAAAGTTGTTGATTTATAAATATAAATAATTTAATTACATTAATGTATAAATGTGCCATTATAGATCGAATCCTAGACTAGTAACTTAGAAAATATTATTTTATTTTTTTAAGTGAGAACAAATAACTTTATTGTGTTCAAAAGTGAGTAGTCTATAATAAATGGTCCAAATTAGTTATAATGACACTTGACGAGCACCCACCAGGTCAATTAATTGGGCCTGGGTCACCTCGTTCGATCCATTATCTATTTGCACTTGGGTTAAGAGGTGTTCTTGGAATGTTGGTTTCAGAGGTTGTGGGTAAAGGGAAAAACAACTTTTCTATAATACGAGAAGTGACCGACCTCTCCTTGTTTCCTCGTTTCCTCGTCTTCACTAGGAAACTAGGAGAAAACTATTCTTTCATTTTGATTATGTCCAAAAGAATTCTCATAAATACTACTATCCTAGGGCTTAAAGATTCTTTAACTAATTCGATACAAATTCGTTACATCCCAAAGTCTCTTGCTATCTGCACATAAGGTGTCTCTCTCAAACCTTTATCGTATGTTTTACAAGTAAAATTAACGCTCACTATGACACTTCAATAAAACTGACCTAGGGTACTTTCATTCCAATTTTCCAATCGTTTCAGCCACCTTCCCTAGCATGGTAAATCGACAAGACACAACCACAACCATCATTTCCAGTCATGGTAATCAAGTAACCTATACAAAGATGTGTGCTGCTATGGAGGAGCTACGCCTCTCAAATCTGACCCTGGACTCAAACATTCTGATCTTCTAAGAGTGGCATCATGAGGATTTCCAGGAAAAAGAAGGTCATGGACTCCAAACTTCTTTTAGATGAGATTTGGGACACCCCGGTACAAGAGAATTTCAAGCTACCATCTTCGGTGAAGTTTACTGAAAGGAATGACCCTCAAGAGCATATCACCACCACCAGCACCCAAATGGAAATCATTGGCGTGTCTGATTCTTTGAAGTGAAAGCTCATATCTAGCACTTCAAAGAGGCAACCTTGAGGTGGTTCATAAACACCCCTCACCATTAGTAACTAGCCAGCATGATCTCTCCAAGAAGTTGGTCCACCGATTCTCCACATTTACACATAACCTCAACTATTTGAAAAAGAGTAATTAATTGAATTAAAAAACATAAAGGTGAAAACTTATTTAGAGAAATAAAAAAAGAAAGCAAATATCATGTTGATACTCTTAGTTTTTGAAATGTGCATTCATCATAGTTTTAAAATAAATAAATTATTGAAATAAATACAAGCAAATTAATAGCATTAAGGAGTATTAAAGAGTAATATAACTCAATCCTAATTCAATATCATATATTAAAATTCCATCAATGACAAGTCCTAGTCTACCTATTTATAGGGTAAACAAACAAATGAATTAGAAACTAGGTTTGAAAATTTCAACGCAATTAAACTAAATTATAAAAAACACAATTTACAATAAGAGGCAAACAATAGCAAGTGTGACTCAAAAGTTTCTCTTCATCTCTCTCAGTCACAGAGAAAAGAAAAAAATTGCAATATCTCTTTTCTACCTCTATTCATTTAATAGATTAAGATAATCCACCAAAAACAAATAAACAAAACACACACCAAGAATAAAAATATAAGAAGGAAGAGCATCAATACATATTGGAGGTGGAGTTTCGGAGATCGGCAGAGGGAGTCTGTCGTGATGAGTTTGAATCTGCGACATTTGATGCTTCGCAGAGTGACCGACACCATCGGTTCGCCTATCCTTTCTTCTTTAATTTGTTAGTCTCACTGCTTGTCATTGTTGTTTTCCATTGACCTATTGATTCTAACCATGTGCCACAGCAAGAAAATACCAAAAGTACAAAAACTCATTTTTTATGTGATAGAAGTTAGGAACATGTAGTGTTAGATTGTTGATGCTAAGAATTACTGATGAATTTAGAGGTGAATGAAAGTGAAGGTGATGTATTGTATTGTCCGTGAGAATTGTTTATGAGTTTACCTTCTATAGGTGTATGCTAGTGATGTAAAAAAGGGGTTTAAAAATAATTAGGTTTATAGGCTAAA